GGCTGCTTTTGATTTCATTTCGTGCGTTGTTTTTGTTGTTGTCTGTGCCACCTTCCCTTCCCACCATCTACCTCTCTACTTCAGGGAGATTTCGAAGGGGATTACAATGGAAAGAAGGGATTATTCGGCTTTCAAACTCCAACTCTGATAAGTTCGTCCAGGACTTGAAATAAAAGAGAAAGGAGATTTTGTTGGTATGTCATTGCTTTCGCCAGACTCTACAAGCTTTGGTTATGTGTGCTTGCTCACTTGCCCTTTTCAATTCGATCTCGATTCAGGAACTAAGTGCATCGTCCGATCATGCAGTTATGAAATGGTCTTTTAGATATTTCAGCATAATGAAAAGGAGTCTTTTTTTTTTAAAGTTTTATAGATTAATAGATTTTTTAACTGACGGAAAGGTGACCTAGATGTCTTTTATTGTGCAGTTATTCGACATGATTTTCCTGAAAGCTAATCTTGGTGTTATGCCTATCCATTAAGCTTTAACTGCTAAATATAACAAACCGTTGAATAATTAAATTTAATCACAGTCTTTTTTTTTAATTGTATTATATTTCCTTTCAATGAGATGAGAATTCACTGCCAGTTGTGGAAGGTGAATAAAGTCCCATCTATAACGAGATTGCTTTTCGAGAATCTGCTATGGAGTATTTTGCTATAATGAACAGGATTTCGTTTTCTGCAAGAAGGAAATCCGGCTCATTATTGCAAAGCATACATTATTAAAATATATTTTTTTATATTTGGCAATTGTATCACATGTTTGAGCCAGCGATACCAGTTTTTAAAGAAATTGCCAGTAGAAATTACTGGTAAATGTTGTACATCTTGTATCAAATTCCTTCTTATCGTCTTGTATCAAATTCCTTGGACTCTTAGTTAGTTGTGGATAATCAGGAAAGATCGACAATTTACTGTAAATAAAAACTGCACACAGAAATTACATAGCTGTAAATCATTCTAGGAGTACGTGGATATTAAGCAAATCCTCCTTAGTGTACTAGAAATATCGTATAAATCAATGACAGGGTAAACTAAATCGCAATTAAGCTAAACTCTGTTTAAACCGCTAGCTCTCGCAGCTAATTCAGAACTGACTCGTCCTGACTCTGGAAACTGCATTTATATGGTATTACACGGACTTTGGGAAGCTTCGAGGAAAACCCTTCCTAGAGCTCCGAAAAAGCTTTTTCCAAAATCTTCCAGCCAAAGTTTGTTGGAAGTGTATCACAAGGTTGACGAAATAGCGCCAAAATGTTTTCAACTTGGCGACAACAATTTTCACGAGCGTTTTGGGCCATATTTCGCTTTTTTCTAGTTGAGCTATTTTTACATTTTAAACATTGTTGGACTCATTCGGAATTGAAAAATCCCTTTTTCTGTATAAGAAATAAACACTTCCATGCAAACCATATGGCCATAAATTCAATTACAAATAAATATTAACCTAAAAGTAACAAGTAAATAAATAACTAAAAGGAATGCTACATGAAAACAACAATGCAATCAAATGAATTTAAATATTTACAGACATTTACAACAATAGCCTCTCTGAGAAGTCAAACTTTTATATTTCCGGAATGAAACTCGTAAGCTTATTTCAGTTATTTTTTAGTAACAGCTAGCTTATCCTAACACTGTATTCTTCGATTTTTGTCATATATATTCTCTCAGGCTAGAAGGATATGCAAAATAAGAGCATGCGGAAGAGAATTTAGAAGTTAGGCACGATAACAGCAGTTCATATCTGAAGGAGTAAATATGCGTACTACTGCCGTTTACCGTTCGAGTTCGGAAAGCGACTTTAAATATCAAGATTTATGCTTCCAATCTGCTTTTTGTGACTTCCGAATCTTTTCACGCTAAAGTTAGTTGGTTTAGTATATTAGTATAAGTTAGAAAAACTAATCATTAGGGCTATTTCGGACTAAGAAACATAAAAATCAGCTGTGCCCTCGCCAGGATTCGAATTCCATATATCTCAGTTAACAGCCAGATGTACTTCAAATTATACCACGGATGCACTTGATAACAAAGGAGAAAATTCCTTACATTCTCCTCTACTTAAAGGATGAGTGAGGAGAAAAGGGCCAGCTAAATCCAAGTAGTGAGGAACTATCGTTCGCCTTATTTTAGTTCAGACACCACTTGTAGAGTCTTTTATGTTTTTTCGAAGTCGAGAAGCATGAGAAATCAGCGGTACTTTTTCCAGGATTCGAACTTCAGACTTTAACCGGAAATGCCTCCAATTACATCACGGCGGCACATTAAGGAAGGAGAAAATTTGCTACAAAGTCATTAGACATAAGTTAACATCTTCGTGTTCAAGGTCGCAATATTGGTATTAGAAGTTACAATTTTAGTACACAAGTTACAATCATAGTACTCAAGTAAGTATCACAAGTTACAATCTTGTACGTTAAATTCATAAACTCGAATGGCAAATGGGAAATACCTGCTGTCTAACAAGTGGTTAGTTGAGAGGAACAACTAGGTCTATTACATGCAATTTGTCTAGATATGATATACAAATTTTTTCTAGATATGATTGGTTTGGTTTGGTTTATTAGATTACGGCAAAGCACTCGAGGGCTATCTGCCTTAAAGGAGGGATGCCTTCGTGGAGGACTTTTTAAGGGAAACTGGCTCGTATACACGTTACACATTTCTAGATATGAAGTTCCTTTTTTTTTTTTTTTTTTTTTTTTTTTGTGAAACTTGAAACTTTACTGGTTCAAGTTTCTAAAGCTTTGTAAACAAAATTTCAAAGTTATTTTTCTTTCGTATATGAAATGTATTTTAATTTCTTGCTGTCTGACCTACCGAGCGGTCGATATACATCATCATTCGATCAAGCTTTGTATTCGTGATCGGAAAGCGAAAAGTTTTAGAAACTTTTAGTGGTATGTAGTTGCTACAACTTAGAAAGTGGAGCATTGATTATGTCATTTGTTTAGGTGATAAAATCCGTCAATATATATTTGTGTTAACGTGTCGTTGTTCAAAGTTATACACTAACTGCATGCATTTGCTGATTACTGACACATACTCTCGTGAAAAACTTCAGCTCTAAACTTCTCTAAATTGTCTATAAACTTTCTCTTCTACACTAGTTATACTTTTATATACATTTTTGCTTTAAACTCTCCATAAATTTTCTGCTTTACGTTTATTCGCAATATGGCAAACGGTATGCTGAAGAAAAGATTTAAAATATAAAAGCTTTAAAACTTTCGGGTTTGAAATGTAAATTAGATAATTTGGAATATCTCTAACATCATGTCTAAGGAAGAAATAAATTTCTAAGTATTGTCGCATTCGAATATTCAGCTGCAACCGGAAGATCTCTTATTCGAATTCCAAGGTCAGCATTTATTTATTTCGTACATTTCCCAGCTCTGATAACCCTAATATATCTCTACAGAGGCGCTTGAGGTAAAATAAGGTGGACAATAATTCATCATTACAAGGATTTGATCGACCTTGTCTCATTCCCCAACCCACTTCCTTTTTAAGTCGTAGAGAATGTAAGGAGTTATCGCATTTCCCATACGTGTTGTTGTGATGTAAGTGGTTCGATTTCCTATTTCGAATAATCTAATAGACTCTGCAAATCAAGCTTAGGACAATAAGGCCGAGTTATTATAAAACATCTTTCGAAGTAAATCTTCTGAAGACTTTCAAATTTTTAAATAACGTAACTTTCAGCACCTTTGTCAAATAATTCGAAGTTTCAAACCCAGGCGAGGGTCCTGTCAGTTTTTCTCTGGTATCTCATTCTTAACTGTTCTGTAGGACGCAGAAATTGCATCTTAATTAAAATGTTAATTAAAACCGTTCGTCTTTCTATTTAAGTAAAACTCTAGAACAAGTAAAAGAAATTTATACTATATTACTTTAAAATGAAGGATTTATGTATGAGCTCGTCGCATAGCACAGAGACGGATAGGCCTAGGGTTACGAAATCAATATATGCTGTCCAAAACGTAAAGCTGTGCACATCAAAGCGAATTTTTCAAAATTTTGTTTAGACTATTTTAAATTTAATACTAAAACAATTTTTTTTTCAATTTTTCTCATATAGCTTTTTTCACGAATAAATTTAAACATCTCAGTATTTTACTGCTTACATCATTGGACACAGCGTATTTACATGAAATTTATATCGAATGTTTAACTTCAATTACTGATTCTGGGCATTTTTTTTCTATCTTTTCACTTCCATTATTTTAAAATTATAATGTATAAAAATGTATATTTTATAAAGTTTTGAAATTTTCACAGCCTGTAAAAACATTCTCTACCCTCTTTTAAAATAAGGATCGGGGGAAAGGTAATGATTAAGCAGTTTTCTAGAATTTTTTTTTAATTAACTGCTTTCGAGGCCAGATTTAAGCAATAAAGCTTTGAATTAAATAAGTTTCAGCTATAATGACTTTTGAATATTATTACTAATTTACCTTGATCTACAAATCTTGAATTTTGTGAATGTAACCATATTCAGGCAACGTATAAGTAAAAGCATTTGATACTAATGTATAAGTTGTAATAGATATTGTAATTATTGCATTCAACTTTAAATGATACTAACATTGCATGCACTGCTGCATATGCTTTATTCTATTGTATTTACAAGAAGTTCCATTAAATATATTGCATGGAACTGAAAAATAATTTACACTGTATACCTTCTCATTGTGAATTATTTTGTTGAGTGCGTTAAATAGAATAATTCATTGCAGGAACTTAAATATTTGCAGACGACTTGAATGATAATTTATGTTTTATTTAATTTCATGAGTAATGCTTAGAATTCTGTGAAATGAGAAAGATTGATTTCTGCAATTCTTGAAAATCTGCAAACGAAATTTCATCCAGTGTCACGAGTATTCCTTAAATACCCATAAATTTTATTCTGAGTTAACAGTATCTTTTCTTCTTATTGTTTGCAACTTACGTTTTGAATTATTTACATTCGTATTTCTTTCTCTTTACAGATACATACTGCACCAAGGAAAAAGATCTACAACTGCCATAGTAAGTCTCATTTCCGTATATTGATCAAATCGAATTTTAGGGCGAAAAAAAAACTCTTCCTATATTTTTCATCTCCTTTATATTTGATTTTGGTAGTGTTAGCATGATATACATTTCCTAGTTCCTGATATATCCTTTATTTGATTCCCTATTCTTATATTGTCAAGTTTAATATACCTTGGGAATTCAGGAGGGAAATATTTGGAACAGTTTTCTTTCGCAAGCGCATATTGCATCTTTTGAAAATATTTTTTGGAGTTATGAAATGTTTGTTTTCCTTTTCTTGCCTCCTCTTCCCCCCTTTTCCAACCTTTTCCGTAGTTGCACCCATTGGAATTTTGTTGATTAGTTTATCCGGGATGTTCGACGTAATTCTCTCGCTCTCTTTTTCCAAATCCAATCAAATATCTCGGCGGAAAGTATTTAAGAGATATCCAGTTAACATGTGCGTGTTGGAGGGATTTGTTTGCATCCATGAATAATAAGGAATTATTACACACAACGGTTACCATAGAGATTTGGTTATTTGTTAGTAGTTTAACATGACAGTGAGAAAATTTATCCAAAAAATTTTTGTTGTTTTTAAACAAAATAAAAAATAGATATAAATATTTTTCTCAAATATTAAATCAGGGCAAATACTGAAATTCAACACTTTGATGTCAATTTAGAAATGGAATTATTTGAGTTGCGTTATAAGAAATCTGCTTAGATTCAAAACACAAGCCAATTTGTTCGAAATTTTATGTCGAGCAGCATGATCTCTGGTAAATGAAGGTCAGAAGTTCAGTGTGAAGTCACATAGAATTATTATCAATCTATTTAACCTAAAGACTTACCACAGTGATATACGAGAGACGTTCCACTTTATTTATTGAATACAATGAAAGACTTGCACACTGTTATTCCATGCAGTTACCTACCACTGCAATACATTTGTCCAAGCATTGAAGAGTAATTCCACTAGGGACCCAATGGTTAAGGCTGGTGAAGGCTGATATTTCGTCCTCGGTTCGAACCCAGGCGAACGGGCTGGCAACGTGGTCGTAGTTTTTCTCATGTGTGATCTTAATACGAGCTAATTTTTCTTAGAATGTCCGCCGCGAAGGCATTCTCCTTTTCAGGCAGAAAAGTCCTCGCGTACTGTGGTATATTTCAAATGACAATAAACAGCCAAGCATCGAGCAAGTTTCTTATGGTCAGAAGAATAAATGTCTTTTGATTTCATGTTGACACATTTTGCCTGGCATCAATAATTTGCCCAATAGAATTGACTTTCTTGATAAGGTATTCCTCCGCTTTCTTAGCATGCCTTCGTGGTGTAGTGATCAGCACGCTTGGCGCGTATGCGAGAGTGCGTAGTTCGAGTCCCGGCGAGGGCATTGCTCATTTTTCACCTTTCTTCCTTCAAAAAATACCTGATGTCTCATCATCTTCTTTCCTAAAAATTATCTAAGAAAGATGAAGACAAAAGTCTGATGGTGTTAAATCTAAAACATTTTTAAAGTGAGGTAGAACATTCCACTTGTATGACTGCAGCAATCGTTTTTTGAGTCCAAGCATCAAAAGATGAGGAACTCACTTAGCGCTTACCTTACTAAATTTAAAACGACCTTTAGCGAATATTTCCACGATACCAGCAATTATTTTTAAGTTCCTTAGAGTTTTTCTCTGCCGCAGATTTCTCCGATCGGCCCTAATTGATGCATCAACGGTAAACAATTTCATCGGTTGAGTTGTCAGCCGACAATCATATGATTCATTTTCGACTTTCGGCCTTCTTTAAATGTCTTGCACTAATCATACACTGCAAATTAAGAGATCTCCAATTTAATTATTATATTAATAGTATTTTTTTTATCCTTTTCGCTCTCGAAAATATCTAAGACGGAATAACATATTTTGTTAGCCAAACTGTAATGTTTTGTGAAGCTACTGCTTCGACTTGTTGATTACAAATACCAGGCGTGATGAAAAGAGAAGCTAGCACTTATTGACAAGTTCAAACATGCGTTCAAATAACATTCCAGTAACTTGTGTTTACGTTAAAGTTTTTACAAGAAAAAAAGCATGAAAATTACTATTTATATTTGACCGCCTATCTTAGCTTATTTCCTCCGTTGTAAACTGTAAATAAAATATTTCAGAGTTTAATCGCTAATTCCTCGATTTTTATGCTTGGAAGTTGGAATCTTCAATGTCTTACCCAAGGTGCACATATGCAACATTTTTTTCTCTTCTCGGCTATCTGTCGAGAATTGTGGGTATATTGAGTGTAACGCATTTGTGTAACAAAATATGTAACGCATTTGCATACCCAAAATTATACATATATTTTCGGAAGGATGCTGCCTAAAGTATGTCGATGAGGGGGTACTGAGGCCCGTGGAGAATCTGTCGATATCACTTGACTTTTACATATGAAGTCATTTAAAAATCTTCGTTTAAAGTCATTTAAAAATCTTCGTTTATGGCGGGAAGATTGTCTAGAAGAAAACTGAAATAACAATTGCAACTGGAAAGGAAAAGATCAGTCATACTTGTCATCAAATTGATCTTGCAATCAACCAATGTATGTTTGTTGGAACGGCACCATCAACTGAATATTTGTTGTTATTAACAATTTTCATTTTGAACACGCTCTGTAAAATTTAGTATGGTGCTGAATTTGTTGAAATTTTGTGGCTTTAGCCTTTCTATTCTCAATATTTGGTAACCTTTCGTTAGCAAAATAATGGCATATATAGCACAATAATTACATTATTTAGGATATGTTCTTCAGAATAACTCAAAGTAAGGAATTAAAGGCATTCATTCCGTATGGTGTAATAGTCAGCAGTTGCTGAAAGACCTCAGATTCGACACGAGGAGGGGTGAACCTAGCCAGTCTACAGTGGCACGTTAGTATACATAAAATGTGATCGATAATTCATCATCAATTGAGTTAGAAGACTCACCATCTGCCACTAGCCAGTCTTTAAGTAGATGGAGAGGAATAAAAAGAATCAATAGCATTTGTGGTATGTGTCCTTGGTGTAGCTGTCAGTATATACAACTACCATTTAGAAAATCTTCGTTTCGTGGTGAGCGTGAGCTTTATTTCTCAAGATTTCTTCTGCTTGCTAATATGTAGTTAAGAAAGGCTATTTGAGAATGGCAAACCACAGGAAGGATGTGGGATGCCTTCATGGAGGACTTTCTAAGGAAAACTGACTCATATTCTTCTTACACTTGGAAAAAACAACGAAAATCAACTATACAGCAAAGCTCGATTGCTGCATAGTTGATTTTCGTTTGCGGCATAGTTGATTTTCGTTGTCCGGGTTCATAGTTGATTTCTGTTGCCCGGGTCGAATTTAATTTATTAGTGCCTTTTTGGCTGTAGGAATGTAAGAAATACTATTACAGAAATTAATGAATGCAAAATCTAATATTTATTTATAAAAATGAAATTACTACTTAGATGACAGCTATTCATAAACATTCTCGGCTCCATTAAAAAATGCATAAATTATTATGAAACAAACTGGTCGCACTGTTACTATTTCTATAATATTTCTTCACACTGTGTGATAAACAGCAGGCCACTACTCTGTACGTAATACTGCACTTGGCTACTTTGTTAAATTTGTATTAAATGATAAATACATTGTTACCCTTTAAAACTGGAAAAGGGTGCGAAAATGCTAATGAAGAAAACATTTTCGTCTATGGTATAATGAGTCTTAAAATGTAATACAAGATTTATCTGACAGAAACTAAAGAAATTCACATTTTAAAACAACTCTTAAAAAATATCCACCGCTTTAAAAGCATTTTAATAAGAATCTCTTTTTTTTTTTTTTTTTTTATCCCTTCTCCAGTTCCCGTTTACGTCATCAGAGTAGTTTACGAGGTTGCTTGCATTCCGATCTACGATTTGGAACCTAATTGTTGTCGAGAGGGAACTGCTCTATTAGAAGGACTGTACCTCTAATTGGCTTCACAACGAAATTAGAGCTTGTTAACGGCAGTTAATTAAATCAAATTAAGCGCGATTTACGGGTGTCTAAAGCAGCCGACTCTTCTTCATTGTGGAGCGGTAGCACGTCGCTACCCGCAGCAAAAACGAGCAAGCAAAGAAGAAAACAATAAAGGGCGAAAGTTTTCTTTGTTCGTTTGGCTCGTATTGTTCTGCACATCATGAATACAAAAATCGTTAATCGTAAGCTTTTTTATTTCTTGAGAATAAGTTGCGAAATTTTTAATTTATGGTGGAAAAAGTGTGTTTTAAGGATTAAGGATTTTGAAAAAGCTTTGCACTTAATTCTTGAATTATTTTATTGCTTCTTTTGTCTTCTTGTTTCTGTTTTTTTTTTTTAATTATTATTATTATTATTATTATTAATGGACATTTTCAGTTGCCATACAAGTTTTATAATAGGTTTTGTTGTTCTTTTTTAAGAAATGGAGGCTTAATTTATTAAATTTAACTGTTGGTTTTTTCCCCTTATCTAAAATATAATTTCAAAAATAATTAAAAAATATATCGCGGCAGTTTGCTTGATTAATATTCAGTATTAAAAATATGATAAAAAATTCTTAACTCGTTGTCTTTAGTTCAAAAATAGTTAATTGCTATGGAAAATGAAATACTACGTTAATTTGAATATTTATGCATGGAAAAGCCGTGATCTTTTATTATTCTTGTTTGAGAAGAGGTGTTTTAGTCTTCTAGAAATGTTTACTTGTACGAGAAAAGTTTACGGAAAAGTTCTTATATACAGCATTTGTATAAGTGTGGAATTTATTAACGAATGTTTTTAATGTAATTATGCTGAATAACTTCAGAGTTTTTCTCCTCTTTGACATTAATTTCATTATTCTTTTTTAATTGAAATTAATGTCGAAAGAAGATTGTACTTTTGGACTTATTAAAACTGAAGTTGAAATATCTGCATATATAATTTCATTAATTTTCGAAAATAACTTTAACTTTTACTCATAAATTATATTCAGGA